ATTGATCGTATCACTAATCTATTGATAATATATATAATAATATTGAAATTCATCATTTTTTTTTATCTAGTTGACCACTAAACAGATAGAAACTTCTCAAAAAGCGAATAGATATATTCGCAAGAATGCCTAAAAGTAAAAGAAAGTTTTGAGAAGAAAACCTTGTTTCTGTCTTAGTAGAATTACAAAATGCTTAAAAGATAGCGTATAGTTTTGTACGGTTAGATGAGTATTACCGTAAGCTATTGTACTTCTATTTTGTACTAATAAGAGAGATATATAATGCATCGAGGTGACGCAAAGAGATCACAGCAGAAAGGATGTATTTCCTGTAATGTAAGAAAGGTGAAGTTCAACGCAATACCTTTCGAGTCAATCGGCATTGAGTAAAAGTATTGTATATTTTCCCTTGGAATTATAAATGCTCACAACGGTTGCCGTTTTAATTGATTTTTACATAGTAGTCAACTTTTGACACAAGTTTCTAAATTTGAACACAATTCAAACCATTTGCTGCGTAGCAAGCCTTAGTGCAAACCTCTAAAATATTCTTTATTGTCTTTTAGCTCTTTGTAGAGAGAACGTTCTAAAAATTCATCTCAGAAAAGTTTTTTAATTTTTTTCGTCATCGAATGCAGAGGAGACTTTAGTTAAATTTACAGGCTTTATCCATCATCTGAATCAAAAGATTTGCAAGTTCACTAATTATCGACAAGAATGGTAAAACTCGTGTGTTTATTCGACAGATTTGAAGAACAATTCAGAATTAGGTTATGAGAAAAACTTCAGATATCTAAAAACATATTGACTAGTCGCAGAAGGTAATTAAGTTGTTTGATAGTTTCAGTCGCTATTTTATCGATAAAATAATTTCACTACATAAAATCTTGACAAAACTGGAGAAAGGTATAGTGCAAGCCTTCCAAAATTCAAGAATGAAATAATCTACAAACGCTTGCAATTTGAAAAAAATACAAAGCTAATGGTCTACCTAGAGCGATAGAATTAAGTAGCTTAGATCTCTACAAATCGATATAATATATCGGTAGAGTTCCTCAAACTCAGTGAAAGCTCGCAAGACATTTTCCCCCAAAAGGGGAAAAAACTGCCATCAAACATTTTTAAATTATAGCATGTGCTAAAAATGAAAAATGACAAGATTGTCTTTTGTTTTCTGTATTGTTATATTTGAAAGCGCTTACCAGAAATACTGTAAGTATTCACTGCTCCGTTACCGATACAGTTATAAGTGTAATCCTACATTAAGAGAAAAACAATTTCTGAGATATTATGTTTTGTAAAGAAACTATTCTGAAAAAAAAAAGAAGACAAAAAAATCCATGACATGAATGCAAGAGAGAAAAGAAAAGGACGAACTTGATAGAAAGAGTAACAGAGCGAACATGACAGGTTTCACATTGGTAATAATACAAGAAAGTGAAGAGAGACATAGTGATTGATGTTTTACTTGCATATATTTCACTTGTTTCATTCGAAATAAATGTCGAGATGATGATTTTTACTACTATGAAATAATTTGCAATAAATTTATCATGACAAAACAAGCGAGTTACCTTCATCTGATTTTTCGATTCTTCTCAGTCTTTTCCAGATAGATGATTTTATATAATCGTTTGACGACACTTCATTCATTATTTGAAAGAGATCTGCTATTCCAGTAAAGGCACAGAAATGTATCAGTTTTAAACTATTTCTTAATTTTCTCAAGAGGAAGTGTTCTTGAGCTTTGAGCAGAAAGTGAGATAATAAGAATAACCAAATCGAATAAAAGAAGCTTTAGGCAAAAAACATATTCGTAGAGTACTTTGTGTAAAAGTTTTCTCACTTTTCCTTCATCTTAGTTTACTAAACGTTCTTTAAGTGTTTTCAAAAGTCTTATCAACAGTTAATTTCATCACATGTTACTTTTAGAAATGAAATCTATGTAAACAATTAAATTCGTATAACTAATTTCAAGCTTTGAGCCGCCATACACATAAGAACTATTGAACTTTGTACTTACGAATGAAAACCTGCACTACAATCTTAGACAAATCGTTAAATTGCTCCCATGTTTCTTGATTTATGTCCTCTCTCATTACTTTCTTTTGTTCCTTCTTCTTTCTGAAATTGAATTATTAACTTTATTTATTGGCAAAGCGATGAGACTGGAATGAGCACCTGTATATAGCGTATTTATTATTTGAATAGTCGTTTTCACTTCAAATCGAATATATGAGTAATAAATCATTAATAAATAGCAGATCGATCAATATTTTTATTATCGATTATTGCCCAAAGATATAAGAAAAAATAGACTGCATAGTTTAATAAACATTTCTGTATAATTTTACAATTGAATAAAAATTGAACTTAATCTTAATTTAAATTTGATATGCTCATATCATGATGCCAATACTTCTGAATGGATCAGTCCCATATATACTTAATGTAAATATAACTTTCACTATAATCGATATCAATGAAGTAGCAATGATTTCAAATCTTCTCTTCTTATTTCATTTTCACGTTAATTATAAATAAATGGTGTGCGTAGACTCGATTACATTACACTTGTAGTGACAGTTTCCAAGAAATGAAAGTTAATGCTTGTGATTTCTATCACATGAGTTTATTTTCCAGCTGGATTTAATTCTAATCCATCATTTCGAATTACTCAACTATATATATTTATATAAACTTTGTTGGTTTACTCGTCATGTTATTTATTATTTGCTGACCATACCTCTTTGTCCATCTCTTTTAGTCAATATAGTTATATTTATTTTTGTTGCTTAACCATGTAGACCTTATTTTTTCTTGAAAACTTCAGCGAAAAAATACGGAAGTATATTTTATTTCTCAATAAATGAGTTTCTAGCGGATATAAATAATACCTGTTTAATTTCAATATTGAAAGAAAATCCGACATGTATCTGTTTGTCGAATAAAAATCTTTGTAATGTACACGCTACATTGTGTGAGTCACTTCATGACAAAACTTAATCTTTAAAAAACATTTGATTTTTGTGATTATATTGATAATGCTCTTTATGAGAAATTCGAAGACCTTTTTAATCATTCTATATAATACAATCAAATGATCAATATAATAAACATTACATTGGAATGTTTTGAATTTTAATATCAAAATAGAAATTTTCTGTAAATATTTTGATTTTGAATAAAATATTCATTTGCTATAAATATTGGATTTAGTTGAGACGAGAGAAGAAAAAAAGAATTTTCTTTTCTTTTTGTTGTTTGAGAAGTATACTTAATATATAAAACTTTATAATGGAAGTTTGTGGAATGTCTTGTAATGTTATAATGCAAAGCAAAAAAACAACAAAATTGACTTCTTTCAGCATCACTAGTTGTAAAAAGATAAGATATGACTTCATAAAAAAAAACATTCTCAATGATCAAAAGAAAGTGATTTTCACCAAAGCATTTTCTATGAAATACGTATCTAGAATGATTTTTAGGTTAAATATATATTTAATATAAATTTTATACAAAATTCTAATAAATTTATTGAGTACGACATGAAATCATTTGAATATCTTTTGAATTCTTTACTCTCTTAACCTTGGTAAATGAAAGTTCAAAGGTTAACAACAACCAACAAGTCTGGCTATTTATGGTAGAAGAAAAAAGCAATATCATAAATTTTTGTTTTCATGTCGTTCGTGACATCAATGAAATATCAGGCACACACTTCAAATTCATTTTATAAAGGACGAATATTTTTTCAGCTATACACTCATTTTAACATAAACTAACTATTTTTTGCGTAACCCAATAATGATAAAGTTTAATACAAGACTTTATTTTACATATTTATTCATTTTTTATACTTATGTGAGTGCCATATATTCATATGATAATACTAAATTTGTAAATAATGATGATACAAATTTACAAAATCAACATCCGTATGGAAAACTCAATAACAGTATGAATAATAAACAGGAAGATAAACAAGTCGTTGCAGTTGATACAGCAGTGATCGATACTAGATCTGAAAACAATACATGTGGGTATATTTTTATTATTCAAATTTTCTAAGTATTTTTTTAAATTATTTATCTAAATATCACAAGCGTGAGTGTGAACGATAGACACACATTCTTGATTATTCGTTTCCTTCCTTTTTAAGTTTCATAGAACTTATATAAACATAACTAAAACTTTGTCATACGACGTAAACTTTCAGTATTATTGCTTTTCAATGAAATATGTTGTTTATCAACTGATTGTGAAATTTCATTTTTCTATCACACAGTGCTCATTAAAACACAATGAAAATTTTATATCTACGGGCAATTGAGCGATAATAGAATAAACAAAAGAAAAAAGAAACTACTTCACATTGCCTTTATCTGACTGTAGTCTATGAACAGTTAACTCATTAATCATTGACTTGTACATGTACATAGAGAATGCTAGATATTGTTGAAAAAACGATCGGATCTGGAACCAAATCGATTAGAGTGTTGGTCTCTTTGGATTAAGCATGACTTCGAACTTAAAACATGATTTTTTGTCAGGTTCGAATCCAGATGTTTCAGAAACAGTAAAATCAGACTTGCGTGCCTAATGTATGTGATTTTATATGGCTTTCACTATATTACAAGAAGAATGCTATTACTTTATTCATAAATTTTAATCTATTTGTAAAACAAAACAAAACAAACACAATTTAATAAACTACATATTTTTAATCTAGATAAGTGAACTTTTCATGTTCCTTTACAATTATTATACTCATCCTCTGCCGTCCAGACTATTTTTGAATAGTGCCTTTTCCCATTCATTATACCTCACTTACCAATAAATCCATTAGATAAACAATGTATTTAGACTCAACAATCAAATATCAAAGGTTCATATTTCCTATATCAATTACGAACACCCCTATGATATATGACGCTGATCGAAAGAAAGCTACTTCCATATTGCTAGCTGACTCCACAGTAATCGATAATAGAACAGCAATGATTCCCTATCCAAAAGCAGACAAAGGTACAAGAAAAACAGCGACCGATGTAACATTGGTCCCTATAACAACTTCGAGTAGCACAGCAAGCGTTTATTCTACAACTACGTTTAGTGTGACTAATATATTTCCTCCGAATTGCAATGGATCTAGTGAAGTAGAACTACCTAATGGTACTTGCGTATCAAAATCTGTTGTTCAGGTATAGTAGAAAAATATTATTTTCTTTTCTTAACGAATTCCTTTTCTCATACAGATGAATATGGTTACTATTTTACGTAATAAGACAAACAATGCCACTGCTGTAGCATATGCTCTTTCATACTATTTCAGTTCAATTGCAAATACAAATTTATCAACGAATCCAAATTATATTTTATTACCTGCAGAAATCGAGAAATATATTGATAG